GCAAGTATCAGAGGTCATGGGGATCAAGTATATTTATGCCTCTGCTCCACCTTGATATCATTTCTTTCCTGGGACGGAGCCAAGTAGGGATGTAAAGAATATTCATTAATATTTCCTTCCTGGCTGAGAAGGGAATATTCTTGCATTAAACCAAATGAATAGGTCATCATGAATAATTTTTTTAAAGGGAAAAGAAAAAAAGACTTGCCTGTTATGGGTAAAAGTTCTGTTGGCTCAGACTAAGAGTGCACCTATACTGTAGAATTAATGTAGTTTGATACCACTTGACATCACCGTGGCTCAGTGCTATTGAATCATGGGCACTATACTTTTACATGATATTTAGCCATCTCTGCCCAAAAGGCCTTCCCAAACTACACATCCCAGGATTCTGTAGTGTTGAACCATGACAGTTCAAGTCAGGCCTGTAGCGAGGGGGTGGTTTTAGGGGTTCAACCCCCCCCCGAAATGTTTCAGTTTTTTTTAAAAAAAAACCTGGTTTACTCATGAATTTTTAACTGGTCAACCAAATCCCCATGCTAAGTCTATGAGATGCAAAAAATTAAGAGTCCCTCCAGAACTGCAAGCACTATCTCAGGCAAATACTGACAATTTATTCACACTGTCATTACTTGCAGCAATAGCCGATGTAGCGAAGCAACCAAGTTGGGGTGTGTGTGTGTGTTGAATGCTCTCATTAAGGAGGCCAGACTTGGTGGAGGTGGTTGACAAGGGCGGAGCTGCAGGCTATGGAAGGCTGCTCTGCCCCCTGCTGTGCTCTTTGCTTCAGCGTGAGCTAGGAGGCAGGTTTCAACCCCCCCCCCCCGAAAATTTCAACCCCTCCCGAATTTTTTTTCTGGCTACGGCCCTGGTTCAAGTGGTATCAATCCGCATTCATTCTACAATGAAAATGCATGCCACGATTTCCTCTTCATCTGCCCTCACATCCCATAGCCCAGGGATCCTCAAACTTTTAAAGCAGGGGGGCGGTTCATGGTATCTCAGGCTGTTGGGGGCCCAGACTATAGTTTGAAAAAAAAAAGAATGAATTCCTATGCACACTGCACATATGTAATTTGTAGTAAAAAAATATGAAAGAATAATACAATATTTAAAATGAAGAACAATTGTAACAAATATGCTCTTACCAGTATTCCAGTGAGATGTTCCTGCTTCTTGGCAGGGGGTTGGACTGGATGGCCCATGAGGTCTCTTCCAACTCTTTGATTCTATGATTCTATGTGTGGGCCTGCTTTTGACTGATTGTTGTTGTGTGCCTTCAAGTTGTTTTAGACTCAGGGTGACTCTAAGGACCTCTATACACTTACCTCTCCTTGAGCCCATTTCACTGGCAACCATTGATGAAATGGCAGGTGTGAGAGGTGCCTCACGACACACAATACGCCCTCTCTCCTTCCCTCATCACAAGTAGGGAATGGGACAAGGCACCTGATGGCACAAGGCAAATCCTGTCCCAGAAGAGGAGAAAGGGGTCAAAAGCTCCAAATGTGATAAGGCCTAAGTCTAAGGTTTAAGGCAGGGACCAGGTAAATGACTTGGAGGGTCATATCTGGCCCATGGGCCTTAGTTTGGGGACCCCTGCCATAGCTCGTAGCCAGGGCATAGAAGCATTAGCTTCCCCCCTTTGCTACTTTTCAGCAATGTACAAACTAGGTAAATCATCATTTTTGGCCTTAGTTTATGTGTTTGTATGTGCCTTCAAGCCACCTGTCAATTTATAGCAACCCATGAGGGATGTCTAAAGACAAATGAGCATGCTTACTCTTATTTACATATTTTGAGAATGTCATGGGAACCTACTGTATTAGTTTAGTGACCTGGAGTGTCTTAATTTGACTCTGCTTCTAAAGAACTGAAATTCGGTGTTTCTCACTCAGCATAGAGATTGAATGTTGAGAATAGCGGCTGTCACTCACTCTGCATTCTAGTTTAATTCGAATTTCTGAAACAATTGGCATTGGAATGTGTGTGTGCTGAGTTACCTTTTCTGTGTTTCTGTCACATATGGCCATAATGATATATATTTAAAAACAAGGTTCTTGTCGTAACACAGCCAGGTCAGAATCTGCGTTGGAGAAATATTGCCTCAGGAAAAAGATTATTAGGTGACCAATCACACCGTTGCAAGATGCATTAATGTTGTGGTATGTTTTAGTGTGGAAACCATATATACTGCACATAAAAATCTAGATGCAGTCAGATATACGGAGAAATTGTCAAAATTGTCTTCATTCCTGCCAGTGTTTTAACAACTGCTTAATCATGTAGCAATGACAAGATATTAGTAAATTGAAAGACTGGCTAACTTATCTCAATACACATGTACAACAGAATGCACAACATCTGAAAAGGAAACACAGAGGAAGGATCTAACACAGTTTCATCCAGTGCACATGTGCAGTCGCCTATTGTACTATTGAACAGCTCTTACTTTGGGGAAGTTCTTCCCAATATTAAGCTGACATGTTTTTCTGGCCATTTCAATCTATTTCTGTGTGTCTTATCCTGTGGAACAACAGAAAACAAGCTTGTTCCATTCCTCATATGACAGTCCATCCTCCTGGGTCCCAAATGTTGTATAATAAACATATAAACACATAAGATATTCCTGGGATGTAAAACTTCCGTCTTCCCCAGCAGACAGGCATGACAGCAATGCTTTTCCTGAAAGCCTGACACAATCAAGATACAATACAATTGTTGCACCAAGAGCTACCTTGCAGGGAGATCGGAAGCAATCACTTGAAAGAATATTCCAGGGCTGCTTCTTTTTCAGCGTTATAGATACTTATATTTGTTTAGAAGCTTACAACTGGGCCCTGAAGATTTTGCTCTGGTATTTTAATGGGTCTGCCGATTTCCTTTATGCTTTCTGCATTGCAATATGAGAAAATACAAAATTTTGTGTTCGCCTTCTGTTTGAAAGTGTTATTTCCTGTTTAATGGTGCAGTACTTACTTTGAAAGTTGTTATTCTACTGCAGAAGTTTCATTTTTGTGGCTGCCACAAACTAGGTGGAATTGGTTGAGACTATAAGATATTCATTGAAAAACTAGAGCAAAATGTGCTGCAGGATGTCCCTCCCACAAAAAACAAAGTTTTTGCAGTTAAATAAATGTTGTCCATGTTTTATGATAGAAACAATTAGAAAATGACATTTATAACCCAGGAACAAAAATAGTGTTACATAGTGTAATCAACATGATCTACTCCTGCCCCTTCCAAATCAACATGCTATTCCATTAGTAGCCAGAGGGAAAAAGATTTTCCCAGCAACACTCTATTCAGCCAGGGTGTCAAATGCATTTTCATCAAGAGCGATATCAGCCTCATGGTTGCCTTCAAAGAGCTACTGAATCCATGAATGGAAAATCTGTGTATATAAAGGGTCAACTATAATATTTTTACACGGTGCTGGCGCTCTTTAGTTTTTACCCAATTTGAGCCCTCCAGATATTATTGAATGACAACTCCCATCCCTTTTATCTGCCATGCGGACTGGGATAATGGGAATCAGCAGCCTTTCTGGCTCTGAGGAGTGACGAAAGGTCAGAGGACATTTTAAAGCTCAACATCATATCTGCAAGTCTTGCATCAAAATGCAAACCCCAATCTCTGGCTCGACAGAACAAACTGCAGCCTTCCAGATGTGACTGTGCCACAACTCCCATCAGTTGCATTTCTGATTCCCATCAATGATGAATTCAGGAGTTGTAGTCCAGCATCTGGAGTAGGGCCACATAAAATGATGTGGCAGCCTGGATTTAGCTTGCGAGTCTTGCATTTGACGCATGTGATTGATTGTGAACCCCCCCTTACTGTAATGTCAAGAACTGTGCAGTAGTTTACTCTTAAATGAATAATTAAAATGCATTAACTCTACAAAAGCCCTGCAGCTGGTAGAGACAAAAACTGCTAGAACTGGCCTGCGATACTGATCAAGGCAGCTGCTTGCCTTTTTAAGAGACTCCTTGGGATCATGCTGTAACTATAGACTCCGTCCGGGTGGTAGTTCGGGACGTACCACTATATCACCGGACGCGGCGAGGAACTAAGGCTGCTGGTAATATTTCAGACCATGGCTAATTTTCCAGACAGGAATGGCTCCAGGCATTTTGTTGTCTGAAGCCAAGAAGGCAGCTATTGCTTCCCATTGCTGTTAGAGAAGAAAAGCTTGAATGGTAGCCTTGATGCTGGTGATGGGGTCATTTTTACCACTAAAACCCAAGACCACAAGAGCACTTAAGGGCCAAAGGATCGAACGTGTGGCCATTCCAACATCAAACACAGAGAATGACTGGAGACTGGCAAAGAAACAGTTAGGAGGATGTCAGTCTTCCAGGCCCAGAATATACTATGTGACACAATTTTTGTTCCTGGGTTATAAATATCATTTCTTAATGGGTTTTATCATAAAACATGAGAAAAGTGTATTAAACTGCAAAAACTTTGTTTTTGTGGAAGGGACATCCTGCAGCACATTTTGCTCTAGTTTTTCAAGAATATCTCATAATCAAGTCTCAACCAATTCAACATAGTTTGTGGCAGCCACAAAAATGAAGTTTCTAGAGTAGAAAAACTACTTTCAAAGTAAGGACCACACAATTAAACAGGAAATAAGTTTCAAACCAGGAACATAGTTTTTTTCAAATTTTGTTACATAGTGATATCTCATCTCAAGCATCTGCCTAATGATGAAGCCTATTTTCCGAACACTGTTACAGTTATTTCCTTTTGTAAAGCATGCTTTATAGTTCTCTATTATCACCCTCACTTTGCTCAGATGCACATTCTGACCACTGAGAATCTAACTCCAATCTGGTGATGTCTAACATAATTGCATAGCTGGGTTCAAATGCATAGGCTTTAGATTTTATTTGATGTAAGGTGTGGCTTTGGGTTTTGTTACTGGTCAACAGACTCAAGGTGTGCCCACCCCATTAGCCCATTTCACAGAGATCTGTAGTACATCCTGGAAGTATTTCTTTAGCGATAGAGTTTATTGCTAAAAAATTTTTTATCAGTCATGGTTGATATGTACACTGATATGTTGAAAAAGGAATATTCAAGTAAACATTTTCAATATTTTTTCTGGCATAATCTCTAGCTTTCTCTCCTCCTATACACAAACATGAAAAATAAATAAACTGTGCACAAGAAATGCCTTTTAACGTATCTACATCACTATATGTAATCCAAAACAAACAAAAAATTCACCCTTTTTGCAACATACTTAAAAAAATCTTCTTAATCAATATACATATTTTTTAAAAAACAATTTTGAATATTAGTCTGAAGATCAGCAACAAATTTGGAAGGAAAAGAAACAAAAACAGGAAAAAGAAACAAAACTTTCTAAAGGGAGGTTGAGTAGTATAAACCGTCTTTTTTAGGAAACATATCCTTCTTCCCATTTGCCAAAGGAAAGTGATCAATTTGGAAAAGGTCAGCTTCAACATGTGGTCCTGCATCATCATCGTCCTCTTCATATTATTATTAATAATAACAATAAAAATAGCCCACCAAGAAAACACACACCACTGAATCTTCTCCCTTTAAAATTTCTCTGTATTTACAAAGGATGGTAATTTCCCTTTTTGTTAGAATGCTATATACGTATAAAAATAGACATCTGAATGTGGTGCTCAGCTTTTTCCACAGCCTGCACTGCAGCTCCTTTCAGGTTTTGCTCCCCCCCCCCCCTTATTTCAAATAAGATAAAATAATTAGAGAGAGAAAAGAAAGCCCAGTGCAAGGGGCTGCTGAGGGGATGGGACGAGGATGAAAAAACAAACAGGTGAGGTCCCTTATGGATTGTGTGTCCCTGTTTCGTCGAGTCTCTCCATGGGTCCACCGTGAGAGTTCTGGGTCCAAACATGCAGTCCCTACGCCGTGTTGGAAGCATGTTACCCACAGAATACCTAGAGCTTTTGTGGCGGGACCCATGTGGCCCGGATGGAGGGTTGCCAATGCCATTCCGCCTCAAGGGGCTTCCAGGTGAAGGCTTTCTCAGGCAAGTGGTCCGCATATATCCACATGTGGTGCACAAGGGCAGTTTGTCAGGTCACCCAGGAACCTTGAGTCTGGCTAGCAGGCGCACTTGCACTCAGAGATCACTGGGTACTGCACCGGGATCCAAGTGCAATACTTTTGCCGGGACCACCCTTGGCAGTACCACCTCAGGAACGTCTTGGTCACGGACTTGACTGGCTTGCAGTACATGCCCTCCGGGAAGGAGCAGGACCGCTCTGAGAAGCAGTTCCCTTCCTTGATGTATCGGGGCCAGAAGCGGGCCCCCAGGTCCTTCCAAGTGTAGACCACCGGGCAGTACGTGTAGGCCCACAGCCACTGCAGGAACTTCCGCCGGGCCTTCTTTCCCAACCGCAGCCGTGCCCCATATGGTGTCTCCCCAAGGTCCAGCTTCTTGAGCTCGTTGGGCAAGGGCCCCGTCCCCTTGAAGGGCCTGTGATGCGGGTCTGAGAGGTTCCCCTGGACTGGGGCTGCCACCGACATGAAGTGGGGGTCGAAGCTGCTCCCCAGCTTCTTCCTCAAAGTCCTCTCGTCCAGGTCCTGTTCCTTGGGGTCATACTCTGGGTCCGGATGCTCAATGATGTCCTTGACGGGCAGGTTGTCGCTGGGGGACGGGCGCAGACGGAGGTAGGGCTGGCCGCAGCCCTGGGGCCATAGCACCGCCAAGGAGGAGTAAAGCAGCAAGGCCTGGGGGGCCTTCATACTCCCCTCGGCCCTTGCCCTTTGCCAAGTGCTGCTCCTCGATGCCTTAAGATGCCCTGAGGGCCTGCTTTGCCAATGAGGGGTCACCAAGAGTGTCCTGGGAAAAAGTCTGTCTTGAAACGGATCGCCCCAGAGTTGGACCGTGGTCTCTTTCCTGCCACTGGGGAGAAGGGCACAAACTAGGAGAACTAGAGAAGGGCTGGGAAGGATGGAAGGCGAGGAGGGGAGAGATGGAAGGAAGAGGAGACGGAAAGAAGGGCTTGTTAGCGGCCTTGGGTCCACAGGGCAAGGCGGGTAGAACAATCCAGTGAGCGGTGGTAGCAGTAGTCGTAATCCGAGGAATCTTCACCGCCAAGAGGGGGCCCCCTTCCCCAGGGCAGCCTCGCGCTCTCTCTGCGCCTCTCTCTGCCTTCCCGGCAATTCAGCGCGGCGCCCGGCGCTCCTCCTCCTCCGCCTCCATCCCCATGGTGACAGCTGGACGGGGAGCCCCGGCGCCCCGTCTAGACATGAGCATGACAGCCTGGGCCTCGTGAGGCTGGAGCCCGAGGACGAAGAAAAGACCCGAGGAGAGAGAGAGGGAGGGAGGGAGGGGGCGCGGCTCCTGGCTTATCCGCTCCGCGCCGCCGCCGAGGGTCTCCCCGGCAGGGACTGCCCCACGGCTCCGAAAGTGCTGGCCGGCTGCATGTTGGCCGGGAGAAGAAGGGGGCGAGCGGGTTCAGGGGAAGGTCCGCGCCGGGCTAGCCACCTCCCCGGTCATGCTCCCTGGGACGAAAGCAGCTCTGCTTCGAAGTCCCTCGGACCCGCTGAGAGGCGAGGATGGACTCCGCTTTGCCCCGAGCTCCTCCTGCCTTTCCTTTCCTTTCCTTCTTCGCGCCCTGCGGCTTTTCCTCTTCCCTCGTTCTCACTCACAACCCTGCCTTCTCTGCTTCCTTCCCTCTGCCTCTCCTCCTCGGACTGCGGCGCTGGCCCCGCTCGGCCCCAAGTTAAATATCCCCCTCGGAGGGAGCCAAGTGTCAGCCTGCGGTAGGGCCCGCCCCCCTCTCCCCATTGGCACCGCCGCACCTGATCGACAGCCTCCTTTCCTCTCTGCCGCGCGGTCTTAGCACCCGTCTGCTAGAAACCCTCCCTCTTTCTCAATCCTCCGGCGCCTGCCTGGCTCGCTTAGAAGAAGACTCGAGTCGGGTGGAAAAGCGGCTTGGGAGAGGCGCCTTGGGGCCCTTTCTGCCAAAAGGGAGCCCGAAGAGAAGGCGGAGGGGAGATGGGGGAGTCAGGCTGCCATATTTCGAAGCAGGGCTCGGAAAAGTCAACGGACGGGCAGCAAGGGAGATTTACTTGGGCATGAGGAAGACCTACCGGACTGTTAAGAGTTGTTCAGCAGTGGAACTCTGCCTTCGCAGTCTTTTAAGCAGAATCTGGGTGGCCATCTGTCGGGAATGCTTTGATGGTGCTTTTCCTGCATGGCAGAAAGAAGGGAGTTGGACTGGGAGGCCCTAGGGGTCCCTTCCATTATTATTATTTATTATTATTATTATTATTATTATTATTTAGAGGCTGGGTGGCCATCTGTCGGGGATGCTTAGGGATGCAGAAGGAAGGATGGCTTTCCTTCTGCAGCATGTGGATTTGATGATGCTTTTCCTGCATGAAGGCAGAAAGAAGGGGGTTGGGCTGAATGGCCCTTGAGGTCCCTTCCAATTCTATGCATTTGTTTGTACATAACAACACAGCAGACGTGCACATTAGGTCCGAGTGTCTGTGGTTTGTCTCTGAGTATCAGGCTCTTCCCAAGGGCCTGGGATATTAGAGGTATTTTTGCAGAATGCTTGCAGTTCTGAGAAGAGTGGCCTTCCTTCTGCAGCATGTGGATTGATGATCTGTCCAAATTAAGCCTTTTCCAGTGCTTTTCGAGGTTTCTTGGAATGCCTTCAAGCGCACCAACCACTACTGGTACCACTGTTGTTCTCTTTTGCCATAGTCGTCCAATGTCAATTTAATTATTATTCCAATTCTATTATTATTATTATTATTATTATTATTATTATTATTATTATTATTATTTAGAGTCTGGATGGCCATCTGACAGGGTGCTTTGATGGTGCTTTTCCTGCATGAAGGCAGAAAGAAGGGGATTGGACTAGATGCCTCATGGGATTCTCTTCCAGATCTAGGATTCTATAAGAGGGTCTTACATATATGTGTTTATGTAATTTAGTAATGTATTGCATTTTTATGTTCATTTGTTTAATTAGTGTTTTGTACCCTGCCTCGAGCCACTAGCAGAGAAAGGTAATAAATAAATGACATGTATTACTATTGCACTGTGATTCATTTGGATTTTGTTCCTGGGTCAGTTCCTGGGTAAATGTAATTTCTGAATTGGTTCTATCATAAAAACATAGAAAAAGTTTGTTTAACTGCAAAAACGTTTTCATGGGAGGGACATCCTGCTACAGCACATTTTGTGATAGTTTTTCAATGAAGATTTCTTCACAGGGTATCAACCAATTCAACCTAGTTTGTGGCAGCCACAAAAACAAAGTTTCTGGAGTAGAACAACTACTTTCAATGTAAGGACCACACAATTAAACAGGAATATATATGAATTTGGCTGGAGTTACACTTCAAAATGCACCTGTTTCAACTTGCACACAAATTCAGCTTCCGAACAAACCTACAGAAGCTCTCGCGTTTTGTAACTCGGGGACTGCCTGTACCTTCAATATAAAAAATGTAATTATTAAACCATTGTCATTGAACTGGGGTCAGACCACATACCACATTCCCTGTTAGAAATCTAAATCTGCAGTAAAAGTGAATGTGTATGTACCTATGTATATATTTTCCAAGTTGGGTGTATGTGTGATCCACAATGTTGGGGTTTATAGTTCTGCTGCCTTCAAAGATCAGACTGAACCCAACTGAAGGTGGATCTGGACCCAACTTGGCACTCAGACCCATCCTGGCCAACGCTGAATACGGGCAGAGTCCATGCGGATCCAAAATAGGTTTCTGAAGCCACTTACAGACCCACCGCCAAGTCTCTGTTCTTAGAACACAATCAGACTCATGGGCCACGAGGGATCGCCTGTAGTATAGGACCTCACCCAAGTTGGTTTCATCCACAAATCTGATGCATACCTTCTATTCTGGGACCAAGACAGAACCTCTGGATTGCTCATTCATCACTTATATCCAAGATGAATAGACACCATTGGTTAGTATTATCTAGATTTGGTCTGTCAACTAGTTAAAGACTTATCTAACTGTAACACAATTTAGTCCACTGGTCACCAGGTTACCTGCAAAAATACCACAGAGGACCTTGTCTAAATCTTACTGTTGCCTCTTAGTAAACAGATTCCTTTCAAAGTGTGCACAGGTTGGTTGTTTAATGATGTTTTCTAGAAACTTTCCTCATATCCTTATACTTCTCCTCACCATTTGGCAGTATCATAGTTGTTAATGTCAATCCGGTAGTCACCACTAGGTTTAAACTCACTCAATGGCTTTTTATTTAGCACTCTGCAGAATGGGCTAAACTGGGAGGTTGCCCTCTTAAAGTCCAGTTTGCCAACTCATGTAAATGTAAACAGCCATGTAGAATGTTAAACTTTTCTCTATTAAGATATAAGTACACCTTGCTCAAAAAATTGTGGAAATGTGTAAGGAAAGAAGCAATAAATGTTGGAAATATAAGGACCAAGAAGGAACTTTCTACCACATGTGATGGTCTTGTAAAAAAAAAAAGAAATTCTGGGGCAAGGTGCAAAAAGATATATTTAAGTGAAATATACAATTAAGACATGAATTATTTTTATTAAAAATGTCAGATAAGCAAACGAAATCACTAAACTACAAAGTACTGCACCACATGATTGTTGAAGCACAGATGCTATATGTACAACATTGGAAGAAGTCAGACTTTCTGACAATTGAAGAATGGATTGTAAAAGTTTTCACAGTAGTGGAAATAGATAAATCAGCAATGATGAACAAAGGAAAAAAAGCCACGCAAAAACAACTTTGTCAAAGACTGGATACCATTTCTAAATTTTGCAACAGTAGATGGAAAAGTTTTTCTTAATTTAATCTGTCAGAATTTTTGCATGGAATGTTTAAATAGTAACCATCATGCTGGAAAGAAGAATGGAAAAATATTGTAATAGGTAGGAAGAACATAACTATACATAACTGTCTCTAACACAAAGGACAGGAAGGCACTACAATGAGATGCAACAGAGGAAGGGCATAGTCAGCCACTGTCACTGTACAGATATTAGGAAATATTGCATTTGTTTATGTATATTTTTATTGTTATATCTGATAAATATGCAAATTAAAAATAAAACGTTTAAAAAGTCCAGCTTGCCTAAAGGAGACAACCTAAACTCCTACATTACACCATATAACCCGATTTTTGTTCCTAGGTTCTGAATGTCATTTCCTAATTGGTTCTATCATAAAAACATGGAAAGGTTTTATTAAACTGCATACACTTTGTTTCTGTGGGAGGGACATCCTGCAGCACATTTTACTATACTTTTTAAGGAATATCTCTTCATTAAGTGTCAACCAATTCAACCTAGTTTCTGGCAGCCACAACAACTACGTTTCTGGAGGATACCAAATACTTTCAAAGTATGTAACACACAATTAAACAGGAGTAACACTATCAAGCCAGGAACAGAATTTTTTTTCCGTTTTCAAGCATGTTATTGGAGTGCGTGGTAGCCTCCCAAATCCAGAAGCTTCTGGATTATCTAGATCAATTTCAATATAATAATAATAAACTTTATTTTTAACCCTCCCTCTCTCCCTGAAGGGACTCAGGGGACAGACGGCTTTGGTTACATTGGTGGATAACCTACGGCGAGAACTGGATGTCGGCAGTGCATTCCTGTAGGTTGTCCTGGACCATGGAACATGGTATCCCGAGCCACCTTTCTGCGTTGGGACTTGGAGGTACTCGATCATAGTGACTTCATTCCTTCCCAGAGGGGGGAAAACAGGTAGTGGTGCTGGTGGACCCTTTCAAACCCCTGGTCATTGGCATATGGAGTTCTTCAGGCACGAATGGGCAATGCCCAAATGATAAACTGACAGTGCTTCGACCCAAATGTCGTGCAGAGCTTGAAAAGGTTACCTTTTGAACGATAATTTGCCAGAATCATCCAGGCAATATGGCTACTGCAACTCGCAGGATTCTCCAGCCAGCATGTCCATTGGTCTGCCAACTGGGGGAGACTGAAACCACAGTCTAGGGAAAAGCAACTCTCCTAAACAAAGCCAACTTGTTCAGGATCTAACTATTGTTTTCATGTCTCAAAGAGTTTCTTAATTCTGGATTTAAAAACAACAACTTCCGAGGGCGTTTTAAAGATAATGGTGCCAGCAATACCTATGTGAAGAACTGAGGCCCAAAACATGTGCCAAGAGATGTCCTACTTGCCCTCTGACCATGAGATACCAGCCATTGTGGTAGGAGAGGGTGCAGAGTGGAAAATGATGTCTGTTGGAATCTCCAGGAAATCTCTTACTGCTTCATTGTCAGGGAGAAAAACACCAGTGTTGCCACCTTCCCCCCCTCCCCCCCCCCCCCCCCCCCCCGCCAAGAATTCTGAAACAGAGCAACACTCACAATTAATGCATCAGCAAAACAATAAATTAAAATTATCCTCCATTTAGGTTATAAAAGAGGCAAATCACAAAGGCAAAGAGTGGTGACAATGTTCACACTGCATGTTCTAGTGTTCCGCCACAACCACACTTCCCATAACTAGTTCTCATTAGCTCTTCGAGAACCTTCTGGTTTTTCCCCAGAGCCAAGTTTTCTGTTGCTTAGATGAACAAAGTGTCCACCTAGCTTCTGTTTGCGTTGGAAAGCATCAGATGTGGACTAAATGAAGAAAGGAGGAAGAGGGAATGGGGAGGGGACGAGAGATCCATGCCAAATAGTCTTCTTGGCACACTTGGCTTCATTACAGCACAAAAAAGCCTGGCACACACGAAGCTGATGAGTTCATGTTCCAGAACTGAGGACTC